TAATAATAATAATAATAATAATAATAATAATAATAATAATTGCATTTATATACCGTAGCGCATACCCATGCTCAAGAGCATGCTCTATGCGCTTTACAACTATTAATACCCCAGAAGACCCTCTGAGAACACTCAGAAACATTCTCGGCTTCCACCGAGGCATACAGTGCAAGCTGCGGATTCACGCGCAAAAACACTATCAAACTGACAAGATCGTTCACTGTCTATAACCGGAAACTCATTTCCACCTGGGTGAAGTGAGGACAATTTGTGCAAAGTGCCTTTCCCAAGGACACAACGTCTGGCCCCTGACGAGATTCGAACCCACGACCTTACGGTTGCGAGTCCGAGAGCCTAACCACTAGGCCACCGCTCACCGACGCCACGACGTTGACAACATGGCTATGAGCAGCAAGAACAACAGACACCACTGCTCCAACGCAAGACAGATGGAAGGGTAGGCCCATGATCGCCCACGCCAGTCGGCAAGGCGCCGCATGATGATGATGATGATGATGATGATGATGATGATGATGATGATGATGATGATGATGATGATGATGATGATGATGATGATAATGTTGGTTGTGAGACTTCTTTTTTATGAGATTGAACTGTTTTTTCTTGATACTATAAAATATTTTATCTTGAGTGAATCGCTCAGTGATCAAGTGATTGGTGCAGAGCGCTCTGAGCATACACTCGTATAGGATAGAGCGCTATATAAATGCAACATACTGTTAATATTATTATCAATATTATTACTACTACTACTATTACTACTACTGCGCTCGTCTCCGAAGCGGAAAGTCCGGGTTCGAGCTTCGGTTCGGACACGGATCCCCCCCCCCCTCCTGCCCACCTAGCAGTCATGGGTACTAGGTTGGGTACATGACTTCGAGTTGGGGAAGTAAAGGCGGCGTGGAAAGAAACTGGCCACCGTACCACAATATTATTATGCCGAAGGCCAAGGAAGTTGTCTCACTAACAAGGCAATCCCCAATGCCCTGATCGGACACGTTAACAACTTTTACTACTACTACTACTACTACTACTACTACTACTACTACTACTACTACTACTA